TGCAGCTACCACCAGCGGGAGATCAAGCCATTACCACTACAGGCCAGCTCCGAGGTCACGAAGGGACCCTGCCAGAAGTATCCTTCATGGACGATGCGACATTCCTGTGCGCACTCAGGGATCACACGAAAATCGAGAGCAGCATCTTTGATATATTGCCCATCATTGCGAGGAGACTCAAGATCTTCGGGCACGACCTACACCCCAAGAAGACCAAAGTTCTGCTGCATATAGACGGGCACGCCAAACAACATATCAAGGCGAGGATTTTCAAGACAAGCCCCATCACATTGCAACGCGAGGACTGCCAGCTGCTGACCAGCATTGATGCCACCACAGCTGAGGTCACGTCTCAGGGACTCACATTGGGCAATATTGTGGCAAGCGACGGCGGTGAGGGTCCGAACCTTATGAGACGCATCATCGATCACAGATCTGCAGAGGGGCCCTTGAAGAAGTCCATCTTCCGTCTGCCGCACATCGACCTCAAAGCCAAGATGCTGTACCTCACGGCACTGGCGCAGAGCAAGCTGACCTACGACTGCGAAGTATGGGGGCCGCTGACAGCACAACAGAAGCAGATGCTGCAGAGCAGACACATGGCGAGCCTTCGAGCCGCCGCACGGCAACAGCGACACGGTGCGGGGCACGTACATACCTTGGACGACGAAATATACTTGATATGTGACGAAGTACCGATCCACATGTATCTGCGCCGACGGCGCCTAATGTACCTGGTCAGAATGGTGCATGCGGACACGCCCTTCCTTCACCGCCTCATCGACGAGCTCTGGGAGGACAGTAAAGCCTGGAATGTACTTATCGTCGAGGATCTGGGTTGGATAATAAGATTCCTACTAGACGACGAGGACATTGGCTGCGACATCAGGGGCCTTGTACGATGGTTACGTACACAGCAAGAGCAAGCCGCACAAGCCATGATTACGCGTGCATGGCTCAGGTACAAGGCATGGCAGCACGACATATATCGACATCGGATATGGCAAAGGCAGTTGCACCGGCTAGCGCAAGACTTTGGACTGACCACGCCCAACTTCGATGGACGGCCACCTGCACAACACAGTGGCTACATATGCTACGAGTGTGGCAAGATCCTAAAAACTCGGGGAGCATGGAAGCGCCACCGCACCATGGAGCACATCGGCTATGACCTCCCCGAACTACTCGCCCGTTCGACAACCTGCCCTGGGTGTGGGAAGGACTTCATCACGCGATCGCGCATACTCAAGCACCTGAGAAGGTGCCCCAGGTGCCTGGCCGTACTCCAAGCAATTGAAGTCCCAATGGATTTGCAGGAGGCAGCCGAACGCCGAGAAGAAGAACGAGAGGCGGTGGCGACGAGGAAGGCAATGGGTCATGGAGCTACCAAGGCGCTGGTGCCTGCTCAACAGGTCATACACATCAAGCTCGCCGACCACATCGAACAGCATCAGCTCCAGCTCTCGCCTGCGCCGCCCGCAGCAGCGGCCCCTCAAGCAGTGACGCCACCAGCAAGGACATTCGCACCGTGCAGGCCCATGGTTACTACTGCTATGTTCTTGCTGCACCTTTTTTCAGGCAGACGCCGAGCGGAGGATTTCCAGCACCACTTCGAGATGAACACTCGGGAATGCAATTTGGTAGTATTATCAATCGACGTGCAGATAGACCCCGACAAAGGAGACCTGACGAAGCCAGACGTCGTCGAGTTTTGGTGCGCGGCGATACGACAGGGCAAAATTTTCGGCATTGTAGCTGGCCCCCCCTGCGAGACGCGGTGCTCATCGCGCTGGCATGCCGCCGAGGGAAAAGCTCCACGCCCACTACGTACACACGACTTCCCCTGGGGCATACAAGCAGTCAATCAAGCGGAGTTTCAACAGCTAGCACTAGCCAACGAGCTATACAGGACAGCTCTACTACTCATCACCACTGGCTTGCAGTACAATGTATCCGCTGTACTCGAGCATCCTGCCCCAGCTACTCGGCGTCCTCAAGCGCCGAGCAGCTGGCAGCGAGCGGAGACGCTTTGGCTGTTGGAGCAGACGAACGTCGAACTACACTACATCGACCAGTGCCAGTTTGGGCAGGCCGCGCGAAAGCCAGCATGCCTGTTGGCGGTGCACCTCAGTGAACTCACACAAGAGCTTGGGGCAGTACCTGGGGGACAGCTGCGCCGACATAACGGACACGACAGAGCTTACGGACGAGACGGCCAGGGCGGCTGGAGGACCGCCCCCCTCAAAGAATATCCTTCAAAGTTTTGCAAGGCAATGGCAACGGCCTTCGCAGCCCATTGGGGGCAGCTCGCTGACGAAGAGGCATTGTGGGCCGAAACGGATGAGTGCTATCACAGGTTTTATGCCCCCCTGGACTATTACATCGAGCCAGAGCAGCTGGGCCACGACTGTCACAGGACATGGGGTATCCACCGGCGCTAGCAGTTGACACTGCAGCGCGTGGTACTACGACTGCCTGCACAAATATTTGGGATAAATTGTTGTCTGTATTATTTCATATTTGTCAGTTCATGGGACGGACCATCAGATTGCAGATTGGTGCACAGATTATTGGCAGCTTACAGATTGGATTGCAGTTTGTATTACAGAATGGTGTACAGATTGGTAACATTACAGAGTGGCAGCAGGCGAGAGAGGGTCAGCGTACCTACTGCATGAACTCATACTGGGAGTGACTTGCGAGGATATTTGTCTATCAGCATGGCTTCGTCATGGACTGCGATTGCGTGCCATTCTCGAGGGGGGGGGCCCGTTGCGCCCATACGGGTGGGCACGATCCCTCAATGGCGACGGAGCGTGCCCCCCCCTCGAGCACTTTTACTGGATTTTTATTTGTTTTTCTTTCAACTCTGGCATCTGCTTGCTATGAGTATCTAGCGCCCTAGGTAAGGGCAGCGTAGCGCCCAGGCCCCACCGTATATGTTTGGACAACTCTGGACATCTCTTGGCAGGCGGGCAGCAAGACCGTCGGGAGTACCTCGGACCCGCGCAACTACATTGCAAGCAGGTCAAGCAGTATCAGCGAGCAGCATGTGGGAGCCGAGCATCCCAGTCCAGTGCAGCGTGGAGTCAAGCACCATCATGTCGACCAGTACTTTTGGGCCAAGCACATCATGTGGTGGTGCTACTGAGACAAGTATGACTACGGGCCCTATGCTGCACTATTTCGAACACCACAGGCATGGGCACGGTCACTGGGGATACGGCAGTACATTCGTGGCAAAGAGCTTCCTCGGCGACAAGCACTACGGCGTCATGGCTTAAGTCCTGAGGAAGCCCCGAATGCGTGGGAAGACCTCAGGCAGCGTCGCCAAGTTTTGCTTGGGTTAGGACGCAAGTCCTGGGGAAGCCCCGAATGCGAGGGAACACCCCAGGCAGAGGTCGCTACGTTTTGCTGTGGGTATCCTGGCGGTGACCGGCCACATACAACTCGGAGGACACCAGCTGGCTGGAAGCGGGCGATCCACACGACGCCGCCGCATTACTGACCGACACCGACATCATGCCCAGCACGGCCCCGCACACCTTTTGTCAAGTCAGCGCTGCCCTGGTGAGGCATGGATCAAACTTCGAGACGGGCTCGAAGGGCGGGGGGGAAGGACGAGTACTTCCCGCGCCCACCAGGGGGGATGGTGAGGGGCAGGGGGGGGGGGGGTAGGACGGCCACTACCTGCGCCCCCGCGGTCCGCCCTAGCTCGCCACCCCCACCATTCCCATGGAGAAGGAGGAGCTACCCGAGCGCCCGAGGGCGAAGCATAGGACAGCCGAGACATCCCACTCCGACAATAATAAGTACCAGGCCTGGGGTTCGCCCCCACCGAGGGCACTGTGACCCCTAGCCATAGCGGGACGAGGTGGGACAGCCAAGACCCCCACTTGAAGTCGGTGCATGGAGGCCATGGGCGCCCACGACCATCAACACAACACCAGCAACGAGCCGACTGCCCAACGACCCAACCAGCACGCTCCACAACCCACACTCAGCCAACAAACAAACGACCGTCACACCACAACCACTCCTCTACATCAGCGCCTGCCTGTACTGTAGCGTCGGGGGCGACATGATTGAGGGCATTGGATATACTACGGCTGGTCGAGTACCATGACGACCAGCAGGATTGGGCATGGCATACGCAGGAGTACCACCTCGACCAGCACGACTGGGACGAGGGATACAAGTTCGAGCACTACAGAATCCAGCAGTACTGCAGGCTCGAGCACATCAGAGTCTACCAGAAGAGAAGGGGCAGCCTGCCCCTCGGCGTGGGATACACAGCGCGAGGCGCCGAAGGGTGCATCCCCGCCGCCCTCGCGTGGCATGCGAGGGGCCGAGGCCAGCTGGCTCTAGTCGGCACGATGAGGAGAGAGCAGCCGCCAGTGCAGGCCTGCTGGAGCCCACGAGTGGCTCGGCGAGCCTCCACAGCGCGCTGCGCCGAAGGGTGGGTGGAGGTCGCCACTGCGGGGGGCAGCCAGCCACCCGAAGCCGCCCCCACGGCGGCTGGGCTCAGCGCGCCGCGCCGAAGGGAGCCCAGCCGCCATCGTGCGGCCGCCGGCCCACGAAGAGGCCGTCGGCCTGGCCGTGCGCCGTGCCGCGCTGCCTGACGCCCGCGGGCGCGGGCGCGCGCGGCGCCCGCCCATGGGCCCTGACGGGCCCCTCTTTTTTCTGAAACCCGGCCCCCTCCTCCCTCCTCTGAGGTTTAATTCTGGTCCCTGGTCCTCCCTGCTCTCCTCGGGGTCGGGTTCCCGGGGCCGCTGTTCGAGTGCCCGCACGGCCCTAGTGGGCCGGTGCGGCGCGCTCCGCGCCCGCGGGGCGCGCGACAAGACGCTGTGTAGCGAGAAACGTCAGAAACGTCAGGAGGGAGGAGGGAGGAGGAGGGAGGAGGGAGGAGGGAGGAGGGAGGAGAAGGTGGAGGAGGAGGCCTGCCCCCTGCCTCTGCCTTCCCCCCGTGGGGCGTGCCGCCGGTCGTCACCGCGGCCGAGTGCTGCGGCCCGGGCGCCGCGCTGCTCTTCCCCGAGGCGGCCGTGCCGCCGCGGCCCGCGGCTCGCGGCCCGACGCCGTCGCGCCCGCACCCGTCGCGGAGCAAGGCTTCAGTCGGGCGTGTCCCTCCACAGGAGGAAGAGCCAACGGCAGTAGCAAAAAATAGTCTGGGGACGATGTTTTGACTGCTTTTGCGTCTGTTCGAGCATTGCTCGGCCATCTCTTGTTGTGTTTCTTCCAAAATCCGCCTGTAGGAGGACATGCCCGACCTCAAGCAAGGCGCAGAGGCGCTGGGAGGCGCGGCACCGTCGCGCCTCGACGGCCTTCGAGCTGAGTGTGGGCGGGGTGCGCGTGCTGCTGCACGACTTCAAGGCCCGAGGAGGGGACGGTACCGATACCGCTACCCTGCCATTGTTTTTGTCGCCTTCTCGGGCCTCATGGGAGGCCCTCGTCGCCACGGCTGGATTCCCCTCGAGTTTTCCGGTCAGGACACACTGGGCCCTGGGAGAGGTCTGGGGAGGTAGAGTGGAAACCCATCACAAGAACCGCCCTGCTTGACTCCAGGATGCCCTGGGTTTCTTGGGTTTCGATCGTTTTGCGATGGAAAGCGTGACCTTCCCACACCAAAAATCAATGGACGTCCTGGATTATCAAGGATGGATTTCTTGTGGGAAGTTTTTGCGGTCGAGCCCCTACTGTAGCGGTGCTGGTATCTTTTTCTGTCTCCATCAAGGGAGGCTGGCAGCACAACACCAACTACCGGGCTTACGCGGGCGGCCTGCACGACCCGTACGACCTCAACGGCAGGGCGCCGCTGGGCCCCGAGGAGGTTGCGCTGGACGTCGGGGCAAACCTGGGCCTTGTGTCCATCGTCCTCGCAGCCAGGGGGCACTTCTCTTCACGGGTGATTTCGCTTGAGCCGCACCCGGCGTTGTACCATTATTTGTTGTGGAACCTCCGCGAGAACAATGTGACGGACCGGGTGTGGCCGCTGCGGTTGGGCGGTTGCGACCCGCTGCGCGCCAGGTGGTTCGGGCTGTGGCCGTGGTGGCAGCCACGCGAGATGCGGGAAACGCTCTCCTCGGTGCCCAGGCCGCTCTGGCAGCGCCTGTGCCGGCGGCACAGGGCGCGGTGCCTCTCGCTCCCCCAGCTGATGAGGGCGCTGGACCTGCGGCGCGTCACCATCCTCAAGCTGGACTGCGAAGGGTGCGAATGGGGATTCCTGGGCTCCGACATGGGCACCTCCTTTGCCGCTGCCGTGCGCGACGGGCGCGTCGGCGCCGTAGTCGGGGAGCTGCACCATGCGGGCCGCCACTCGTCGGTCCGCGCCGTCCGGCCGCTGGCGCAAGCCCTGTGCGGCTGGGAGGCGGGAGGCTCCGGTGGCCACATGCGAACCCCACCCCACCTCCTCCCTCGGAGATCGTGGGGTGGTTGGGCAGGGCTCGCTTGTGGCCTCCTGAGGCTGCAACCCCTTCGTGGAGCGCTGCCAGACGTTCTTCCCGTCCTGCGCCAGCTTCGCGCCGCACCAGCTCTCGGCGCCCCCGACGGCGCTCCCGTCGGCCTGGGCCCGGGGGCGGGTGGAGGCGCCGGCGCCGGCGCTTTTACGCTCCCCGGCGGCGCGTCGGGCCGCCGCGGCCCGCGGCGCGGTGCAGGCGCTGCTGCGCGGGCCCTCGCCGGCGAGCGGCGTGCGCGCGCAGCGGGCGCTGCGCCTGCGCTGGGAGGCGCCGGCAGCGGAGAGCGTGGCCGGGTGGGCCACGCAGGCGCTGAGGCTCGTGCGCGGGGCGCGCCTGAGGCGGCAGAGCGCCAGGAGGTCGCACCGACGGTCCCTGCAGCTCGTCGAGGGGTCGCTGCTGGGCCGCGCGGCGCTGTCCTACTGCACCGACGACCCCGCGTGCGTTGCGCAGCTCGCGAGCGAGGCCAGCGAGCTGCTGCGGCGGGCCGCGGCGCACCGGATGGCTGCGAGGCTGCTGGCGGCTCTGCGGCCCTCGGGGGCTGTGCCGTGGGCGAGCCCGTGGCAGATGTGCTCTCGCTACGTGCGCGGCCTGCGCACCCTCGCCGAATGGCAGCGCGCCGACCTGCAGCTCGAGGCGGCCTCCGCCGTGGGCCAGCTGGCGGACGCCATGCGAAACGGCTTCCCAGAGATATTGGACGACCTCAGGCGCATCCGGAAGCGGCAGTGGCCCGTTGCGTACGGCGAGGACCTCATTCGGAGGCCGAGCAATTGGACCAAGATGCTGCTCTACGACGGCGACCTGGGCGGCCCCCCGCCGCATGGCTTCCCGGGCCAGCCGTACCAGAAGCGCAGCCTCCACGGCGGGCTGTGCAGCAGGTACGCCCCCAACACGTGCAGGATTCAGGAGGGAAAGAAACACACAGACACAATGAATCGTCGATCCCCCAGAAAATATGGGGAAATGTGGGAAGTGGGGGGAAGACGAAAACCCAAAACATATGGGAAAGTATGGGGTATCTGTTTATGTGTGTGTGGTGTATTTGTGTGTCCTTGGGCCCCTTCACAGGATCCTGCAGCCTCTGCTCCCCGGGCTGCGGCACCCAGATCTGCCGTACCTCCAGCCCGACCATGAGCAGGTGCCGAAGGAGAGAAAATTCAGGAGGGGAAAAAAACACACAGACACGATTCATCGTCGACCCCCAGGAAAATGTGAGGAAATATGGGAAGCGGGGAGGAAGACGACAACCCAGAAGATATGAGAAAATATGGGGAATCCTGTTATTTGTGTGTACTTATTTGTGTGTCCCAGGGCCCCGAAGATGTCAGATACAGTCAACGCGCCTATTAAGGACGCGCGCCTTCATCTAGGGTGCCCTCGTGTCCTTGCCTCTGCGGCCCGTCTTTTGCCGTTCTCACGCGTCGCCCGCCGCCAAGAAAATCCCAACCTCGGCTTCCAAGGGTCTTGCGTCCTGACCGCCCGTCGTTGATACACGTTTTCGTAGTAAGTTTTCGGAGCTCCGCGCGGATGCCTTGGATCGGTGCTGGGCCCCCCTCCCTGGCGCGCGGAGCACGCCAGGGGCTGGCGCGCGGAGCACGCCAGGGGCGGCGTCAGAGGCGCCGCCAGAGGGGCCCAGCGCTCGTCCAAGAAATCCGCGCGGAGCTCCGAAAGCGTATGTTTGTGCCCTTCGTTCCGTTCTCCTTCCTTCCTTCCTTCCATCCTTCCGTTCTCCTTCCTCCTTCCATCCTTCCTTCCTTCCCTCCTTCCTTCCTTCTTTCATTCATTCCTTCCGTCCTTCCCTCCTCCTCCTCCTCCGCCTCCTCCTCCTTCTCCTCCTCCTCCTCCTTGAAGGTCGCCTTCTTCCGCCTGGCCCCTGGGTCGCGGATATCCTTCCACCAGGCGGTGCAGAACGGGCGGCTGACGCTGCACCTGTGCCTGAGCGGCTGCGGCGGCTCCTCGCGCATACAGGTCGGGCCCCGGGTGCTGCGGTGGCGGCAGGGCGAGGTCCTCGTCTTCGACGACTCCTTCCTGCACCGCGTCGCGATTGACCCGCACAGGGAGCGCTGGATACTGCACGTGATGGCCATGCACCCGGCCATCGACACGCCCGAGAAGTTCGCCCAGGTCGCGGCGGTTGGGCGCATCTGGCCAGCGTGAGCGGAGGAAAGCAATGGTCCGCCTCGCCCCGGTCTGTACAATTGCGCTAGGCCTCAGCCGTTTTGCGCGCCGCTCCCACATGCCTTGCTCGGCCTGCTGCTGCTCGGAGGAGCAGGGTGGGAGGATGGGGAGGGGAGGGGAGGGGAGAGGCAGAGGACGAGGCCGAGGAGAAGGAGCAGGAGGAGGTCGAGGGGGAGAGGGAGGGAAGAGAGGTAGAGGAGGAGCAGGAGGAGGAGGAGGAGGAGGAGGAGGAGGAGGAGGAGGAGGAGGAGGAGGGCAGCAGCAGCAGCATTGACGGCAAGAGAAGGAGCTCGTGATCGCCACGTGGCGCCCCGCTTGCCTGCACCGCCTTTCCCTCAACCAGCACTGTTCGAAGGTGGACCGCGGCGTGCCGAGAACAGGACGCGTCCACTGGGTGCTGCGGGGCCGACCGCGGGGCCCCGCCCTCCTCTCCCGGAGCTTCGCGTCCCAGGGGTGGCGCTCGCGGACAGGGTGGCGCTCACGGAGGCTGTGCGTTTCCGCCCTGCCTCCGAGCATCGAAGGCGTTGGCATCTCTTCCTCGGCGGAGGGCGGGCGGGGCGCGGCGAGAGTCAAGCGAGGCCGCCTCCAACGACGGGAGCCAGCGGAGGCAGTGCTTGCCCCCCTCCATCTTCCTGCCCCCTTCTTCCTTCAGGCCCGAGCCGGAGCTGCAGCCCCACCAGCATCGCTAAGCCGCGCTCACCACAAGTAACGTTCACGTCGCTGCAACAGCGCGCCTCCAGCCTCGCACTCATGCTGCGTATCATCTAGGGACCGTGCAGACCTCTTCTCGACAGGCTCCGAAGAGCGCGGTCCGCCTCGAACGAGCTCCAGCAGGCCTTCCGCACGTCTGCTCAGGCGCGACTTGTTGCTCACCGCTAGCGCACTCGTGCTAGCCTCCTCTGTTCTGTCTCCCGTGCCCTGCGAGGACATTCGGCAACCTGCTCTGCAGACCCGGCACTTGGCCTCCGAGGGGGATGCCCCAAGGCGACGCTTTCTCTTCTCAGTGATCCGTGGCGCGCACGCCGAGGCGCGTCCAAAGCCGCTGCCTCTCCTGTTCACCGGGTGCAGAGGGGGCAAGCGTCGCCTTGGTCACCACGTCCCGCTTCTGCTTTGCAGCCGGGGTCCCTCTCGACCGTTCCCCCTTCCTGTCTCCCCTCCCCATATACACGTATTCAATATGAGTACTACTCTCCTACCTCCCCTGGTGACGTCCGGGAATTGTCCCGCCACCCTCCGCGTACTGGTTTTTTACACACCATTCCCGGGAGCCAGGTATTCGCCCGGATTTTTTTTCAAAATGTTGCTCTCGCTGAAGCGTTGGCTTAATTTTTGGGCTTCCGCTCGTTCCGAATCGTGCTCCCGCTGCAGCGTTGGCCTCATTTGGGCGCTTCCGCTCGTTCCGAATCGTGCTCCCGCTTCAGCGCTGGCGTCATTATTTCCAACGCCATGCCACGGCATGGTTTTCGATCCTTCCAAATAGGCCCCATTCGGAAGAGATTACATATTCGGTGTCCATTCGTTGGTTTGGGGGGTCGCAGAAGCCCACCCCCAATTTGGGGCTTCGTCACGCCATGCTATGTCAGGCTACGCGTCCTCCGAATCGCGTTCCCGCCGCAGCGTTGGCCTCATTTCCGCGCTTCTGCTCGTTCCGAATCGTGCTCCCGCTGCAGCGTTGGCGTCATTATTCAATCGCTTCGCTCATTCCGCCGGCCCATGTAGCCTCATCTTTGCAGTTTGGCCGAGGGATCGTTGTCAATGCGGCGCTGCTGGGGTCTCTTGGCAGGCGTTTCGGGAAGTTCTTGGAGGCAGTTTTGGAGCCTCTTGAGGTCTAATGGAGGCCGTTTGGGGGCCCTGGGGGCTTCTTCTTGGGCATCTTTGGGGCCTCTTGGGGACCTCTTGGGGACCTCCTGGGGCTCTCTTGATGCCTCTTGAGGACCTCTTGGAGCCTCTTGGGGAGCTCTTGGGGCCTCCTGGACGTTTCTTGAGGCCGAGGGCTCGAAATGTCCGTTCGGGTTCCGCGTCTGGGACCCCCTTTTGGACCGTCCTGGGGCCATCTTGGGCCGTCTTGGAGGCGTCTTGGGCCGTCTTGGGGCCCTGGAGGGCCGTCTTGGGGCCCTCTTGGAGGCCTCTTGGGCTGTCTTGGAGCGATATTCGGAGCCTCTGGGGCCGTCTTGGAGCGTCGGGAAGCCGAACAGGTGAGAACACCACAATCCGTCAAGAACTTAAGGGGGATCAGTGATTTTTGCTTCCTAGGGCCCTCTTGAGATGCTTCTTGGAGGCATCTGTAGGCGTCGTGGAGGCGTCTGCGGCCATGTGGAGGCCATCTTGGGCGTCTTGGACCGATCGGGAAGCGACTCTTGGAGCGCTCTGGGGCGCCTGAAAGCCGCGCCCAGGCGCAAAACCATCTCTGACGGGACCGTCCCGGGGTACTTCGTCCAGGGACCCCCAGGGGCCGCTCCGCGCGCGCGAATTAGACATATTGTTTACCAGTTGACGGAGATCTCAGCAGGCCTCTGGCCCGTTGGGCCGGCGAATTTCCAGCGCCATGCCACGGCATGGTGTTTGGTCTTTCCAAATAGGCCCCCAGAATAAAAAAAATCCCTTCCAAAAGCCATCGGAAGTGATTACGCATTCGGTGTCGATTCGCTGGTTTTGGTGCCGTAGACACCCCCCCCGCTTCAAAACGATCCGGCTGGAAAACGCCGATCCGACTTGACCCCGTGAGGGGTCCAGGGGCCCAGGGGGAGCCGGTTGCTCAAGGGAGCCAGGCCATCGAGCCTGGCAGCCCGCCGCACTATTCCCTGACATCCGCCATCGCACGCCGCAGCTCGCGGGCGATGTTTCTCCCCCAATCCCCGAGTTTCGCCCGAAAAGTCTGGCCGCTCAGAAGAATGGGAAAACCCTGGGATACACCCCAAGGGGGCTATTCGGACGCACCCCTATCGAGAATGGACACCCCCCCATCGTATATCCCAGGGTTAGGCCCCAAATTTCTGGTCCATTCGGAAACCCCACGAAGCCTGGGATAGGGGTCGACATATCCCCTGTTCCCTGACATCCGTCATCGCACGCCGCAGCTTCCCCCGCCGCCGCTGCCGCCGTCGTCGTCTGCATCGTCGTCGCCGTCGGCAGTTTTTGCGCGTCCCCTGGAGCTTCCGGAAGTCTTCGGGCCCTCCGCCACGCCTCGTGCAGAGGTGTCTGGGGAACCCAGGGAGACTTGGAACGGGGCTCGGGGGACGCACGACAGCGTGTCGAAAGGAAGGGGGGGACCTTACACTATTACAGTTGCCCCGACCAGACAGCACTTGGCATTCGAAAGCGCCCGCATCGGGCAGACACGGTTGCGCAGGACATGGATCCGGGATTCAGGACAGGCTTTATCGTTTCGTACCCGGGCCATTCGCCCTCCAAGGCATCTGGTGCCATGCCAAGGCATGCAATGCGATGTTGCGTTGCGCTCCGCTGTGCGATGCCACGCTTTGCGATGTTACGCTTGGTGATGCAATTCTACACTACGCAATGCCAAGCCATGCTATGACATGCTCTGCTCTGCCGCGCTCTTCTACACGATGCTCTGCCGTGCTTACCACGCATCGCAAACCCTCTCGGGATCATTGCCTTGCTCGACATCAGCCTGTGCGCATAAAGAGGAGATCTGCGCCATGGTAAGGATTGGGAGGGAGGGGTATGACGACAGTTATGACGCGAGCGCACCTAGCCTACCCTCCCCCTCCCCCTCCCCTCTCTCCGCCCCGCCTCCCCCTCCCTTATACAATTACACCATATGAATACTACTCTCGCCCCTACCCTGATGACGTCCGGAAGCTGTTCGGCCCTCCTCCGCGTCTAGTTTTTTACACAACATTCCCGGGAGTCAGGTTTTCGCTTGGTCTTTTTTCAAAACGTTGTTCCCGCTGAAGCGCTGGCCTCGTTTTGGGGCTTCCGCTCGATCCGAATCGCGCTCCCGCTGCAGCGTTGGCGTCATGTCCGCGGTTCCGCTCGTTCCGAATCGTGCTCCTGCTGCAGCGGTGGCCTCATTTCCGCGCTTCCGCTCGTTCCGATTCGTGCTCCCGCTCCAACGTAGGCGTCATTATTTCTAGTGCCATGCCATGGCATGCAATGCAATGGTATGTGGTGTTCCGCTGTGCGATGCCATGCCTTCAGCTGCAGTGCTAGGGTATGTATTGCTTGACCACGTAGTGACACGCCATACTTACGCTTTGATATTCAACGACATGCTATGCCATGTTCTGTTTTGTGCCGCTGTGGAATGTCAGTATTTGCGTCGCAATGCTTTGCGATGCAATTCTTCAATACGCAAACTCAGGTCGCGCTATGACCTACTACGCCCTGCTATGCCGTGCTCTAAGATGCATCGCGCACCCTCTCGGGATCATTGCCCTGCTCGACATCCGACTGTGCGACTAGAGAGGATATCTACGCCATGGTGAGGGATGGGAGGGAGGGGTACGATGTCAGAGATGACGCGAGCGCACCTAGCTTGCACTCTCCCCGTCCCCTCTCCCCTCCCCCCTCCCAATCCCGCTCTCCCCCCCCCATTCCCCCCTCTCTCTCTCCCCCCCCCCCTCCCTCCTCCCCCACCCCTTCCTCGCTCCCTCCCTCTCTCCCTCCCCCTCCCGTCGTCCTCCCCCCCTCTGGCCCGCAGCCCCACCCCGCCCCTCTTCTGCCCCCCCCCCTCCCGCCGTGTGGAGAGGCCCGCGCTGGCAGCCGCAGCCGACACCATGTCCGAAGAAGAGGCGCGGCGGAAGGGGTGGGCGGGGGCGAAGGGGAGACGTTGCCTGCGGGGCGGAGCCCACAAGTCTGGACGGCGGCGTCAGACCAGGAAGCTGGAGGACCGAGGAGGAGAGGAGGAGGAGGAGGACAAGGAGGAGGAAGAAGAAGAAGAGGAGGAGGAGGAGGAAGCAGAAGAGGAGGAGCAGGAGGAGGAGCAGGAGGAGACGGAGGAGGAGCAGTTCGAGGAGGACGAGGAGAAGGATGGCCCAGACCTGTCGTTTCGCCACGCTCGGCACCTGGAGGCCCATTCGGCTCCGGGGCGGTCAGAGTGCAGCCCGGGAGGAAAAACCCGGGGCCGGCAGCCTCGAGGTCCAGCGGCTCGAACAGGTCGAAAGTTTCGGGGGGAGTGTGTCAGAGGTGTACAGGGGTGTCGAGGCGGGCGGGGTCGGGACTTCTGGGGAGGAGGAGGAGGAAGAAGAAGAGGAGGAGGAGGACGAGGAAGTGAAGGAGGAGGAGGAGGAGGAAGAGGGAGAAGGGCAAAGATGCCCGGTATCTTGTGGGAGTCAAAACATGGAGGATGAACGGCAAGGAGGAGGACGGCGAGGAGGAGGAAGCAGGAGGAGGAGGAAAAGGAGGAAGAGGAGGAATAAAAACAATAAGAAGACAAAGATGATGAAGAAGAAGAAGAAGAAGAAGGAGAAAGGTAAGGAAGCGGAGATGGAGAAACGAAGAAGTGGAGAGGAGGCGGAGGAGGAAGGGGGGATGCGGAGAAGAAGATGTAGGAAGGAGACGGAGGAGAATGGGGGAGGACGGGGCGGAGGAGTGGAGGGGCAGGGGGAGGAATGGCGAGATGGAGACGGCAGAGGAGGAAGAAGACTACGACGACAACGACGATGAAGAATACCCTCCCCCGTCCTGATGCTCCCGCTCTTCCTGCCCTCTGAGCGAGGCCCACCATGGCAGAACAGGGGTCCTCAGGCCGGGTTCTCCGAGATGCTCGGCTTCCAGCATGCTGCATCTCCAGGGCCCTTTGGACCCTCCAAACAACGATCCGGGCCGAAAAGCTGGTCCCGGGAGAAGCCCCGGGGCCTTCGACGGGAAACATCTCCGTATCGACACGGTTTCGCGGGCCAGGCCCTTGGGACACGACCCTTTGAATGTTGGGCGTCTCTTTCGCGGACGCCCCGCGTGGAACGTACCCGTGCGACCGCGCATCCACCGAATCGCGCACGGAGCCCAGACCGCGAAGGCGCGGGTGTGCACACGTTCGCGTGCTCGTGGCGGGGGCATTGGGGAAACCACGAGTTACCGGTACCACTACTCCCGGACCTCTCACCGTGTGCGTTCTGACCAAGATTTCGAGGCGAATCCAGCATTGGCGACGAGTGCCTCCCAGCAGGCCCCAGAGGGCGAACAAGAGGCAAGGGTACAGTCAACGCGCCCAGTGAGGACGCGCGCCTTCGTCTAGGGTGCCCTTGTGTCCTTGCCTCTGCGGCCCTTCCTTTACCATTTCCACTGGCCGCCCGCCGCCCAAGAAATCCCCGCTTCGGCCTCCAATGGTATTGCGTCCGTACAGTCGGGGCGCTGAAGAAGGAACCCTTTGCGTTGGGGAGGGGCTCGGTGTTCCATCATTGTTCCAAACTTTGCCTAAGGTTTTCCTGCAGTTTTCGATGGGAAGCCGAAGCTTAACTTGTGGAGAAAAAACTGGCCTCGTTCTTTATTTGGGGTTCCTTTGGTCAACGCCTCGTCTGTACCACCCGTCCCCGATACACGCTTTGATTGTAAAACTTCGGCACTCCGTGCGGATGTCTTGGATCGGGCGCTGGGCTCCTCTCCCTGGCGCGCGGAGCGCGCCAGAGGCGGCGCCAGAGGCGCCGCCAGGGGGGCCCCGCGCCAGTCCAAGAAATCCGCGCGGAGCTTGAAAAATGTATGTTTATGCCGTTCGCTCTTCCTCCTCGCTCCGAGGTGCTCCTCCTCGTCCTTCCTTCCTTCCCTCCTTCCTTCCTTCCTTCCATCCTTCCGTTCTCCTTCCTCCTTCCATCCTTCCTTCCCTCCTTCCTTCCTTCTTTCATTCATTCCTTCCGTCCTTCCCTCCTCCTCCTCCTCCGCCTCCTCCTCCTCCTCCTCCTGTCGAACCTCGCGGAGCGTGCTCTGAGCATTGGGACCGAAGAACGCCAGCGCGAACTCAGAGGCCGCCAGCGCGGAGAGGGCGATCGTACCCGCAGCAACGAGCGAGGAGCGCCCCGCCGCTCACGCAGAGGAGGAGGCCAAGGGGTGGAGGCACCGCCGGCACCAGCAGCCGCCGCGGCAGCCGCGGCTGGGCCAGCCCCCATGGTCTGGGACGCCACCGACACGCACTTCGGCTTGGCCCGACAGGATGTCGCCAGCTTGCAGCGCATGCCGATCGAATGGGTCCAGGCCATCGTCCCCATCCTGATGCGGATGTCTCTCCGCCACGAGCAAGGCCTGAACCAACTCGAGGCCGCCAGCTACCGACACGTGCAGATGCCCACCAAGCACGACGTGGTCCAGTCGATGCAGCTGACCGCGAAGTACTACGGCACGGAGGCCGCCAGGATCAGGAAGGAGAAGCGCGAGCAGCTGGAGTCGGGCCAGACAGTCGACGAGCTCGTAGCCCTGGGTATCCCCCACCCGCACGTGTGGATGGCGCTGGTTGGCGCCCTCATCGCGCAGGGCGAAAAGATCGGACAGCAGAACTTGGCGGCGCTCACGCAGTATCAGCAGAAAGTCAGGCAAGAGCGCCCGACCAACAGCATCCTCGCAGACGACATTCGCCACTGCCGCATGCAAAGCACTCACAACGGAGAGATGACAAAGATCTGGATTGCGGCGGACCCTCCGACACTCGAGAACACAGTGGCCAACTCACTGGTGCAGTTGGGAGGGGTGCACAAACACAGCACGCCGCCGAGGAACCACAACGCCCGCCTGGTCCAGCTGCACCTCGACGGGATGTGATAGTTGCCACGACGGACAGGGACGCTACTTCCTCGGGGCCGACATGGGCACAAAGGATCCAGACGCCTTCGGCAAGTTTGCAGCCTCTGGGATCCCAGAGGGTATCTCCTTTTTCGATCCAGACTACGACTCCGTCACCATCCCCGCCCCTGACCCAGAGGCGACCTGAGTCCCTAGTGAGCCCCAGTGAGCCCAGAGCGTCAAGAGCAGGTCAGAACAATTCCACCCCTTCGTCTGAGACTCCCCTCCCTCTTTCGACGATCCTGAACCTCCTGGGCCTTCGGCGCTGAGTCCCCCGCGAAACTTTTTGGCGTCCCGTTTTTGGGGTGCGGGGCCTTGGCGCCCAGTTTTGTTGCTCTGGCGTCCTGGTTTTCCTCGCGGCTCCAGCGAGCCTGCCCGCTCGGACGTCCTAGGGGCCTGGGAGGTTTCTTTAACTTGTTTCTTTTTCCGTTTACAGCCCCGCCCCTTCGGCCTGCCTGTCTTTAAAACGTGGCAGCCCCGCCGTTGAAGGGGGTGGGTGGGAGCTTGGGTACCTTCGAGGCCACGCGCGGCCAAGTTTCGAGCCGCGGCGCACTCTAGAGAGGAGTCCAGCGAAGGCCAGAGTTGCGAACTGCTGCGAGATGCTGGCACCTCTCTGTAGAGCTTCACACACACACACACACACTCCTCCTCCTCCTCCTCCTCCTCCTCCTCCTCCTCCTCCTCCTCCTCCTCCTCCTCCTCCTCCTCCTCCTCCTCCTCCTCCTCCTCCTCCTGGAAGGTCGCCTGCTTCCGCCTGGCCCCCGGGTCGCGGATATCTTTTCACCGGGCGATGCAGAACGGGCGGTTCACGCTGCACCTCTTCCTCTGAGGTATATCCAGGGCCCGTTGCCCTCGAAGCCCTCCCCCCCCCCAAAGCTGTCGGCTGGCAATACTCGTCCTTCCCCCTCGTCCCTCCCCCTCCTCGCCCTCCCCCCCTCGTCCCGCCCCTCCTCGCCCTCCTCCTCGTCCTTCCCTCCTCGTCCCTCCCCTCCACCGCCCCTCCCCTCCACCGCCCCTCCCCTCCCCGCCTGCCTCCGAATTAGATCCAGGGCTCGTTCCCCTCGGGGCCCTCCCCGCCCCCATCCCCCCATCACGCCCACGAGCCCGAGAGGCCTGCGCCCCCCCCCCCTCCCTCCGTGTGTAGGGGGGCCCTCCGGCCATGTGAGTCAGGCAGCGCAGCATCAGCAGCAGCAGCATGTGGGAGAGCGTGCTACGCATGGAATGAAATTTTGAGTTCCAGCACGCGCAGTTGCAAGCTCCCGTGGTGCTGCCCGCATGCCAGCACGCGTAGTTACAAGTCTCCGTGGTGCTGCCCCTATGCCAGCACGCGCAGTTGCAAGTTCCCGTGGTGCTGCCCCTATGTCAGCACGCGTAGTTACAAGTTCCCGTGGTGCTGCCCCTATGTCAGCACGCGTAGTTACAAGTTCCCGTGGTGCTGCCCCTATGTCTGAACAATCTCTGGGGGCTTAGCGGCAACGCCGCCTCCAAGGATGGGTTGCAATGTATTTTGCACTTTAGGTCAGCAGCTTCAGGCCGACTTTCGACGTAACGCTGCAATTTGGGCTCAAGATGGACGAGGAGAAAAAGGGAGTCGTCAAGGCGAGGAGCAAGCCTCAGCGGCAACGCAGGCTTGTGACTCGCCGATCGGTCTCCACTGAAACTCTCCTCCGTCTCCAATTCGACCTACCCATCTCTCCTGAGCTGTCCCATGCTCTACCTGTCCAGCCTACGGAAGCCGTCCGTCTTCTTCGGGAGCTAGCGGCTGGAACGCCGATTGACGAGTTGGCATCAGAAAAGCTATAGACAGAAGGTTAGACGGAACCTCATTACAGACTCTCTGGACCTCATCCCCCTCAATATTGTCATCATGTTCCCACATGGCTTCCATAGTGGTGCTGGTGGTAATGATTATTCTACTGCGCACTCCCTCGTCGGACCTGATGGCAGACTCTTGCCGGAAGGCGTAACTGGGGTTATTAGCCCAACGCCGAGGGGCGCTGGATTCATGGGAGCCCCCCCGTCT